AAAAAATTTGTGCTGTTTGAAAAGTCAATCTCTAAAGTTTTTTTTTTGTTAAAATATTTGTGTCAATTAATAATTTAAATATCACTTAATTATTATTTATTTACATATCTAACATTTAAACTTCAATTTATTTATATATCTGACATCTGAACTTCAATTTTTACAGCATAGTTCTCATGCACGAAAATGTGTTTTCACTTCAGTGACTTTTGTAATGTAATATGAAGATTTGGGTTGTATTAAGCTAATATATATATATATAGGGTTTGTTGTTAGATATGTGAATGCATGCCAATTAGATGGTATGTATGTAAATGCCCCTTCAAAAAATATTAATAACCCCAAAATAACTTCTGCGGTGTTATTTCATGGTTATTGAAATGAAATATATGAGTTTCTTGTCAATAACCACGAAATAACCTCAGCAGTGTTATTTTGAGCATTAATGAAGTGAAATATATGAGTTTTTTATTAAATAACCCAAAAATAGCCTCCACGGCGTTATTTCAGGGTTATTGAAGTGATATTATTTCAAGGTTATTGAAGTAAAATATATGAGTTTCTTTTTAATAACAATGAAATAACATTTGAGTTATTATTTCTCAGTTATTGAAGTGGAATATATTGATTTTTTTTTTTCAATAACCCGGAAGTAACATCGAAATAATCTCCGCGGTTCTATTTCAATAAGCCCGAAATAACTTCTGCGGTTCCACAGTCCAAACGATGTGTTTTACCTTTTCGAAACATCGAAGTTGTTGTGGGCTGAGTCAGGCGTAAAATATACTTTATGAGGTGGGTCCGATATAGACACGTGATGACATAACTCCACAAGAAAAATGCCCTCATGAGTTGGAGGAGAATTAGCTCATTTTAACGTCTGAAGGTTTATTAAATGAAATGTGTAATGATGGGTATTTAATTCATCAATATCTCATATGACAACTCGATAGATTAAATTGACCGATGATGAAGGTCAGAATGAGACATCTTGAAAACTCATTAACAATCATTTGACATCTCCTATCATATATCATGACAATATATGATTTAAGTTATTTATGATTAAATTTCGCTATTTGCAAGTCTCATTTCCGTATATTTGGTACGTGCAAGACCTAAACATGTTCAAATGTTGCGGCATTTATAAACGTATCACCCAATATCTATGAATTTGTATTTCTAACACCATTTTTTGCATTTTTTACTTTTTATACCATCCAAATATTTCATATCAAATAAAAAATATTATTATTTTAACTTTCAAAAATGAAATACACCTTTTTATGCATAGTTAAGGCGGTATATATGTAAAATTTGAAGTTTAGATGTTAGATTTGTAAATACTATGAAATTGAAGGTGCGCGTATCTAATGGCCCGTTTGGGGCAGCTTATAAGAGCGGCGGCATTTTGAAAACGCTATCTCATCGTTTGTTTCGCGCTTTGGAAATGCGTTTATCAAAACTCTGTTTTCTATTTTGCATTACACGCCGCGTTTCCTTATCCTGTTTAACCCTCAATTACTCTGTTGCCCCTTCCTGCAATGTTTTCTTCTTCCTTCGTTCGCGATTATGGAATAAAGGAAGCTCCCAGTGCCGCAGATTCTTCCTTCGTTCGCGATTCTTCTTCCCGGATTCGACATTGCTTATGTTTCTTCCTTCATCGGCACCCCTTGCTTCTACTCTTCCTTCATCGGCACTCCTTCTGCTTTTTCCTCCTTCGGCACTCTTTCGTTCGCTTTCCTCTGAGGTAATATGAATTCCGACAAAGGGCACCGTTCTGTCTCCTAAATCTGAAGCCTCTGCAGACTCTCACTACTCCAAAACCCCCCAAGGTACTCTCTCTCTACTCCAGAAGTTGTGTGCATTAATGGTGGACGTGGGTAAATACCTAATAGGTTTAATGTTTCCCGTTTTAGTGTTGTTTGTGCTCACGATTTTGTTAAGCCAAGTTTCTTCTCAGGCTTCTATCGCCAATGTTTTTTGGGGTGTTAGAATGAATTAGTGTTTAATTTTATTGTTGTTTTATTAAGGGAGGCATTGTTTTACTGTGTCATTACTTTTTTCTGTTTTTTTTCTGGTTAACCTTTTCCTTTAAGATGTTATTATTTTCCGTGGATGATGCAGTAATTTGCTCATTTGGGGAGAAAATGAACAAGTGTATGCTACTTTGTTGTGATTTATATTAGATTCTCTTATGATTTTGTGAGGAGAGAAAATTGTCTTGATTTTGTGAGGTTATGATTTTGTGAAGAGAGAAAGTTGTCTTTGCAAATGATTTAACAGAAAAACACAGGAATTTGACGATTATTTTGGTGGGATTATTTGCCTTAAGCCAACTTTATTTTTTACATATATGCCACCTTATCTATGCATGAAAAGGTTTATTTCGTTCTTAAAAAGTTAAAATGGTGCTATTTTTTTATGAGTTATGAAAGAATTTGGTGTTATGCAGTAAAAAAGTTAAGTAGAGGTGTTAGATATGTACATACAGGAATTGGGTGATATGTATGTAAATACATATAGGGCTGTCCAGAACAAATTATTAATTCAACTAAAAAATTTGCAAATAAGTTTTTTACAAAACACAAGAACCAAACAGCTCAATAACTTATCAAGAATAGGGGCAAATTGGTCATTTCTCCAGAATCAGCTGTTCTCAAAACGCACTGACCAAACAACCAGACAGATTATCTGGATCAGCTGCCCATCAGCAGATTATCAGGATAAGCTGTTTATCAGCAGAAGCTGGATAAGTTGCAGCTGCCCCAAACAGACCCTAAATCTTCCTAAAATTTCACGATTCATTGTCTAAATTGAAGAAAATTTATTTCAATTATCTCTTGCACTTAATGTTTTTTATATTATTCATAAACTCTTCAAGAAATACCCCTTTGCCTCCAAGTCTTTTTCGCTATTGTCAAATTCTCACATTTATTAATTCAAAATTTTTACGAATCTACCATCAGAATTTATTTTCTTGTACGTCTCTATCTATTTGGCTTTAGCGATTTTCTTCCTCTGGCTTT